CGCCCGCCCCCTCCTCTGCCCGCCCTCTCGCCGGCGGCCCCGCCCCTCCCCCAACCGCCGGACTAGCATGGTTCGGCGGCCGCGCGCGCAGACATGGGGGAGAAGCTGGAGCTGAGGCTCAAGTCTCCCGTGGGGGCCGAGCCCGCCGTCTACCCGTGGCCGCTGCCGGTCTACGTGAGTGTCGCGCCGGGATCCTGATCTCCCACCCTTCCCGACCCCCGGGACCCGGCGTCGCGGCTGGGGACCCGGCCGTTGTCGCCCCGCGCCCGCTGGGCTGCCGTTGGCGGGCGGGCGGCGGGGCTCCAGCCGGGGACGAACGGGTTGTGTCCAGGGTGTCCCTGTCGCCGGCACCCCGCGGCGCTTAGCGTTCCTGCTTTTGGGAATCCCCCGTTTTGTCTTCCTCATTACCTAGGTTTATTTTGATTAAGGAATTTTTGTCCCTGGAATGGTGGTGGGCCAGATCGGGGTGAAGCGGGAAGTTGAGGGGTTTCCCCTCGGCTTGATGGGCAGGACTGGGGTGGCGCGGGAAGATGGGGAGGTTTTCCCCTCCTTTGGGTGGGTGGGATGGGACTGACCGCAGGAGCGTTCTGATCTTTGTGCCTCTCATCCTAGCGGCCCTGGGGAAGTGACAGCCAGAGGGAAAACGTGATAAAGGGCCCCCTGGGGGCTTCTGGAAGTCCGGGGCTTCTCCAGTCCGCGGGACCGGCTTTGGGTGCGCGCGGTCCCTGCTGCCCCTCTCGCCCAGGGCGGAGAGGGCAGGGCGCTGCCGCGGCGTTTCCTGGTGGGCAGCATGGTGCAGATCCGGGGTGGAAACTCCCACCCTTCCCACCCTGAAGAGGCCAGTCCTTCTCCCTTCCCTCGGAGGTCACCGTATTGGGCAGTAGAAGTTTGAAGTTTAATTTTTCCTTCCTTCCTCTCTCAGTTGACACAGAGTGTAATGCACTCTTTCTCAGCGTATAGTTCTGTGAGCTTGGGCAGATGCCTGGGGTCTCCTGACTTCCATCTGGTCCAAGTGCAGAACAATTCCAGGGACCCGGGGGTCCCTTCTGCGTCCCCTGTCACCTCTCTTCACCCCCTCCTGTCTGTGTGCCGGCGAGCTGCTGGTAGCACTGAGCTACACCGGCCGCTCCTTTTTATTTCTTACTTTAAGACAGAGTCTCAGTAAGTCACTGAATTGCCCTGGCTGGTTGGAACTTGCCATTTTCCTGCCTCAGCCTCCCAGAGTGCTGGGATGACTGTCTCCGCCCGGCTGGGACTCTGCCTTATGTTGGTCTTGCCTTTCTCAGAGACTCACTCGAATGAACTGAGCGCAAAGCCCTCTGGCTCTGCTGCATTCACTTAGCAGAAAGCATCTGAGAACCTCGCACCTTTGGAAATTTACTCCCTTTGTTTTTGCTGAGTTGCATCCCTTGAACCAGTGGCCCATAGGTTGTTTTCCATTCGTTTGTCTTCAGGTCACAGAACACCAGGCTCTTTTCAGTTTTCTTTTTTTTCTTTAGTGAGTGGAGTAAAGCAGTGGGAGAGGGCAGGTGTTGGGGCGAAGGTGCGTCTCCTTCCCTTCCGTGTGGTACCCAGGCTGTGGGGCCTGTGCCGAGTGCCTTTCTGCCCCTTTGGTGCTGGAGGAGCTGAGAAATTCCCCGGAGCCCGCAGTGGCTGTCAAGCAGAGTGGGGTTGCCAGGCTGGCTCTGCTCTCTTCTGCTCCTGAGATGAAAGTTCACCCAGTGACTGTGGCCGTGTCCCCACCCACAGCCTTATTGGCGGGAGCTGGCGTTCCAGTGGCGGGCGGGACTAAGGCTGGCCGCGGGCTGCTGGCCGGGCCTCACTTGGCAGGGGCCGGGCGTCCTTTCCCGCCGTGGCTGTGCTGCCCGGCCAGGGCCAGCAGGTGTGTGTAGGGCCGTGGGAAATCTCACGGAAGCAGTGCGTGGGGGCAGCAGCTCTTCAGGAGTTCACAGCTCCCTCCTCCCACCTGCCACAGAGCCTCGGGCACTTTGCTAAGAGCTTATGTTCTGTGGGATCCTGTGATTATCCATTAAGGAAATGCTGTGTTGCCAAGGCTTGGGTTCCTCAGGGTCAGAGTACTCCTGACCTCGAATTTGACATGGGGGTGTGTGTCTGTTCAGAATCTGTCCTGCCGGGGAAGGGGGACAGCAAGAGTAGTCCTGATCTCAGGAGCCTTCTAAGACCAAGGTAGGTTGGGAAAAGGTCAGCGAAGTCCCAGGGCCGCACACAAGGGGTCAGCCAAGGTCCCCGAGGGTGGGGCTGCCAGCTTGGCCCCCTGGGGAGATGTGGGTGGCCTCGCAGAGCAGGGGACCTCTGAGGGAGGAAGGAAGTGGGAACAGCCGCAGCTGTCCACGCTCAGAAATGTCCACCTTCAGAACCAGCTTTTCGAGATGACAGATGTGACGTGGGGGCGGGAGGGTGAGGTCAGGTCTCCTTGACTCAGGCTTCTGGGGCATGGGGCCATTTCTAGTGCCTGGTGACCTGTCTCTGGCAGGAAGGGTGAAAGTGGTATTTTTGGTGGCTTACCTGGCAGGCATCGTGGGGGAAAAACCTGAGAGGTGCTGGGGTGGCCTTCCCCTCGGTGACTCAGCCAGCCGTGGGTGGCAGAGGAGACAGCCGCCTCCCCAGCCGAGTGCCCCCTGTCTGGTGAATGCGCGGAAGCCTGGCAGTGGCTGAGTAAGTTGTGAGGGGCGGGGAGAGCCACCTCCTGCACGGTGACTCAGAAGGTATTTTCTGCTGCTGACCTCGAAGATGCGTGTCTCACTGAATCCCCGTTTGCGGGCAGAGGCAGGGCGGCCTTTAGACTGTTGTGTGTGGGCCGAGGGCTGGCTTCAGAAGGGACCATGTGACAAAGACTGGCAGGCTTTCCCTTGCATCACGAAGTGTTCACTGGCCTGGTGTGGTCTCTCTGGTTCACAGTCACGCTGCCTACTCACTCCTGATGGCATCCAGGGCCTGGGAGGTGCCTGAGGGGCTGCAGAGGACAGATGCCTCCTCTCAGCCGAGCCTCTCAGTGGAAGCTCTGTCATTTTTTTATTTTTTTTTTTTAAATTAAGCTGTATTTATTTTTTGATTCAGGGTCGTGCTATGTAGCTCAGGCACCTTGAGCTCACCATGTAGTCTGTGCTGGCTTTGAGCTCTTGTGTTAGTCTCCTGAGTGCTAGCTAGTTAAACTTTTTATTTTTTTGCGGTACTGGGGATCGAATTCAGTCTTCAAACTGAGCTCAAGCCCCCGCCCCTTTTGAAACAGGGTCTTACTATGTAAGGTGGCTTTCAACTCATGTAGCCCAGGCTGGCCTCAAACTCACAGTGATCCTCCTGCCTCAGCCTCCTGAGTGCTGGGATTATAATGCCCCACTGTGCCCAGCTACATTTTTTTGTTCTGGGGTGAGTGTTGATTCACATATGCCGATGCTCGTAAGATATAATCCAGACACCCTGTGTTCCCCCCGCATTCCTCTAGCTCAGTCCCCAGCAGGCCGCCACAGAGCCCTTACTTGTAGTTTCTGTGGGGTGTGTGGTGCTGTGGCGGGCGCCCTGGGCGGGGCGTAGGGGCAGAAGCCATCAACCAGCAGCTCTCATGGGGAGCTCAGGGATGTGCGGAGACCTTTCCAGTTGTCATGACCGGGTGGGGGAAGCCATGACTGGCTGGATACCGTACTAGGCATGGGGTGGCCCCCACAGAGCACGGCCACACCGGAGTGTCAGTGGTGCTGAGGCCCAGAAAGATGTTGTCCCTTATTTGGGATGGATGGAGCCCATGGCTTCACATATGCTAGGCATGGGCTCACCAGTGAGCTACACCCTAGTCCCTTTTAATTTTGAGAAGGGGTCTTGCTAATTGTCCAGACAGGTTTCAAACTTGTTTGTGATTCTCCTGCCTCAGCCTACCAAGTACTTAGGATGACAGGCATGCACTAGCATATCCAGCAGCGCTGCCCCTTTTCACTTGAACTTCAGGGGCACAGATCGCAGCCCCGTGTCAGTGAATGTGGATGGAGGTTCTGATCCCTGGGTGGTCACTGAGTCAGCTGAGGACTTCGCAACAGCTGTTGGTGGTCTGAGGCCTCCAGAGCTGTATGGGGGTGCTCTCATCCTGTGCATCCCAGAGTCCTCATTCCACAGTTGCCTGCCTTCCTGGCTAAAAACGGCCAGCCGAGAAGCAGGGCTGCTGGAGTTAGGTACCTAACTCAGGCCAGGGCTCAGGCCCTTTATGAATTTCAGATGAGGGTCAAGTTTTAAAATGTTCTGTTGGCAAGGGGTAGTGGTGCATGCCTGTAGTCCCAGCTACTGGGGAGACTGAGGCAGAAGGATTGCTGGAGCCTGAGAGTTTGAGGCCAGCTTGGGAAACACAACAAGATCCCATGTGGAAAAACACAGAAGTTAGAACAAGTTTACTCAGTGTTCTGTGTGTGAGTGTGCAGATGGGCACAGGCTTCCATCAGATCTGAAGTGCTCTGTGGATTTTGCACTCAGCACATGCAGGGCGGCCAGCCACAAATCCAGGGGCCTGTTCTTTGGGATTGGCTTTCTCCGCACCCCACTGAGTACAGTGTGCAGAGCATGCGGGTGCTGGGCATCCCTGGGAGCCGATGTGCTGAATCCTGTAGGGTGCCACCTGTTCTTGTTCTTTTGAGACAGTGTTTCACTATGTGGCTCGGGGCATGTACCACCACGCCGATTCATCTCTGCTTTGGCTCCTTCACAGCTTCAGCTGGAATTAGGGTCTGGTGGGAACCCCATGGCCCTTCCTCTTGGAGCCCATGGAGACTTGGCTGAGCTGGGATCCTTGCTAAAGGCCCAGCCTAGACTTCTGGTCAGGGCCTTGCCACTCCAGCTGTGAGCTGCAGTGTGGGCTTCGAGGGACTTGGGTCTGGCTGGGTCGTTGCCTTCCTTCCTGGTGACTTGGCCCCTGGCCATGCTCCCTCCGTGGTGTGAGGAGATGCTGTTCCCGAGAGTCAGATGAATCACAGCAGGCATCGTGACAGCCTGACTCAGAGCCCCTAACCCAGGAGTTGCTCAGCTCTGTGTCATTTGCCCTTTCCTTTCCTTTTCATAGTGTGACACTATTTTAAAAGCCACGTAAGAGTAGTTCTCATAGCCATCGTGATGCAAAAGGCTGGGCTGTGTGAACCTGACTGCAGCTTCTAGGAGTCTCTGTCCTGGCTCATGGA